TATATCCCACCTTTTGCCTGTTGTCAGTTAGGCTCCAGAATAAAATGAATAAAACTTTAAAGGAGGAAACATCTGGCTAATTAGCTCTATTTTAAAGTTATATTACAATCACATCACATGACCTCCATCCGTCCCTATATATGATATTTTAGTGAAAAACTGCTTTGGATGTTGACTTTTCGACTGGATGAGGTGTATGTGTTAGAATTTTGGAAGTTTCCGGGCTATTGAACATTCTTTTCAGACAGATGTTCTGAACTCACTTGTTATCATACTTCGAGCCGTCTACAGCCCATGAAATTATTCAAACACTGCGTGAAACTGAGCCACTCAAGTGAACCCAAGTATGATAAACAATAATTCATCCGTCTGCTCCAGAAAAGTCTTCCGCGGCATTTGAATACTGTAAAATGCCACAGCTGTTGTTTCGGAATCAAAACCAGACCTGGAAAAACACAATATCTTCTGTCGGCTAACTATGTCTGGCACTAATTATTATTATCTTTTTTTTTTCATAACAGCTGCATTTTTAAACATTGGTAACAACTTGAAAGGCCTTCTGATCAACACGCATGTTCATCAAAACAGTTCAAGGCCTGTGAGAAAGGCTAATCATATCCAGTTAACATTCATATACGATATCTTTCTGTTGCTTTGGGCTGAACAGCTGTGCTTACTAGTGCTGTACTTAAAAATTAAGTCCGTTTGATTACCAACTAGCATCAAAGTTTCTCTTTTTAACGTTTACGATGTGCTCCTAAAATTGCCTTTATTATAAGGACGGAGGGATGTTTTTGCAGTGATTTAGGATAATTGCTTTTGGATATCCTTTGGTGATAAGCAGACGCAGTTGTTCAGATGTAGTTCTGCTCAATCTATCATCCCGTCGCAGATAATAATGTTTAGATTCCTGGCAAGCAGGACTTGACATCTGCGGCGTGGATGTGACCGAAATCAAAGCAGAATCTTTGAGGGTGGCTGACTTTGAAACCCTTCGATACTCCCCCAGTCCCCTAGCAACAAATAGAGACAACTCATGGTGGACAGATAGGCGCCACAAAAGTTTCCAAAACTCAACCTGCATCTGTTCCCATCTGTATGCGAGGATGAGGGTTCTGAGACAGAAGAGATGAGGTACGGGTGGCATTTGTGAACTGGGACCTGCTGGGGAGCTATGAGAGTGCAGCTATCTGCATCACCTTCATTAAAAAGCAACTTGAACAAAAACCTGGGACTTCACCCTGCCTTCCAGAAAGTGAAGTGGAGCTTCAAAAGGGGGTCTCAGAATGAGCTCAGCATGAGGGTGGGGAGAGAAAAACTATTTTCCCAAGCAATTAGAACAACTGCAGAGTATGAGAAGGGCCTCCCCCCTGGGTCCAAGCTGGATACGGTACTGTATATCCATGGAATCAGTCAAAGGATGAAGTTACACTTTGTTGTTTAGAAAAGACTTCTGTGTATCATCAGTGCAGAAACAGATGGAGACATGGGGACTGGTGGAGATGGGTGTTTATTGCTTTGTTAAAGCTACATACAGGGAAACTACAGTACATCCAGTATTGGGGAAAACAAAGGCTCATGGTTGTGTCTGTGTTTGGACACGTTCCTGTTCATTGAATTCTAATGAGCTAATAAATTGAGTCCATGTCTCCAAAGACTTTTTGATGTGCCGGTCAGCAAGTTTACGGTCCTTTCCCCACCTACTGTAAAGATGGTGTACTCCCGCGTGCTCTCAGGTTAGGGCACCAGAATGGCTTTCATTGGAAGAGGCCTCCAACCAGATGGCCCCCCTCCTTCCACTATCTGCTCAGCTCCAATGAGAATCAGACTGAAGGCAGCCATGAAGAAGATGGAAAACACTGTTGTTTGAACATGGTTAGCCATCTTGCCTTTCTCAAAATCTATTATCCATCCTGGGACTTTGGGGGTAAAATGATGAGCTTGGACGTGTTCTAGTTTGGTATGGGCCAACCTTTGACACACAGAGCTGGCTTTTCTTCTTCTGAGTGCCTTCATCCATTTCTTACTGGCTTTCCCCAGATGGCTGTAATCCAGCCTTCTCTGGAAATCAGCTATTTCTCCATCTCCATCATCTGATGGCTTTCTGAAGGCTTGTTTCAGATGTTGACAGACAGCTGGTGTCCCACAGAGGCTCTTCTGCCTCCTGCGGAATGGTTGGCTCAATGAGGAGAATCTTCTTAGAATTTCTGGACCACAACAACTACTTTTAGGGGTAGGCTTGGACTGGCGATCCCACAGAGGAGCTCAGCTGGTCATGCTGTTGTCCAGTGTGCGAAATACCTGTCAATATTTGGGGGGGTCCCAATCTCCCGATTGTTGCGCAATACAGATCAAAATTTTCTCAAAATGCAGTAGGCCTATAGCATTAAAATGTCAAAGTCAAAGTGAGCTTTAATGTAAATTCTTCACATTCACCAGACATTGAAGGAATCGAGGGGACGTTTCTCATTCACCAACAGTGAAACAGATAAAGATAATATCAGTTCCTAATACTAAAATTAAATTTCACAATAAAATATAAAATATTCAATAATCTAAAATATACAATACTTATGCTAGTGCAAAAAGGCAGATGGTAATGGCAGCAGAAAATTATTATTATTATTATTATTACCAATTATGAAAGATATATTTGTAACAGTAACAGTGCAAAAGAACAGTAAATAAATATAGTAATAATAGTAGTGCAGGAAACAGTTTGTCCCGAGTGATTTTTTTTGGGTGGGAGCTAATAACATCACCATTTATCCATTCTTCTGCTAGTTCAAAACCCAGTCCCTTTTCTGAGAGTAGCAACGTTTTTGCATTTATACACCCCAATTTTCCTGACTTAATGTCAAGCCAAGGGCTGCGGTCTTTCCATTCGCCCACCTGCTTCGTTGTCCAACCAGCCGGCAACTCACCTGTGCTAGCAGCAGTAGCAGCTAACGTTAGCTCAGTTGCATATTCGGAGCACTCGGCCTCAACTTCAAGTTGTTTTTCTGGGGAGTCACTGGGTGGGATAGGGTCCTCCGCTTTGGTGACTAGTAGGCCCATCTCTTCATCTCTGAGTGCCACCTTTTTGGACGTGAACCCAAAGTGCGTGAGTGATAAAGTCTGATTTAGCTTTCGCTTGCTAGCCATTTTTAGTATTACTCGTTGTCAAGGTTACGTCTCTCTTCTGTTTGGCGCGCGCAGGATTGGTTGGCTCCACTTGGCAAAAAACTGAACATATTTGTGAATAAATTTAAATTTTGAATTTTAAATACTGGACATGTTGAGCTTAAACACGTTTTAGTGACCATTTGTGACAAAAAAAAAATTGACAAAATTTAAGACCCCCTTCAAATTTAGCTTTTGAGGCTTTCAGGGGCTCTACTAGGTTAATATATGACTTTTTCTGTTGTTCCTTAAAACTAAGAAGCAATTCTTTTAACAGAAGCTATGTGAGCTCAATGTCAGACTCTGTGTTGTGGTAACTCTTTTTTTTTTATTGATAGAGATGGAAGTGAAAGGAGAATTTTATACTGATAAATGAACAAAGATAATATTGGCCCTTGCTCTCAAATGAATATTTAGCCACATAAAAGCTGACACAGTGTTGTGTTTGCCTGGAAAGTTCCTGTTGGTGCTAAATCAGAGGCAAAACAAGCCAAAAGCTTTTGTAGCTAATCTTTTTTTGCATTGATTAGTAATGTAATTTATACAGAAAAACACCTGTGACTGATATTTTTGCAACAGGCAGTAAAGCAAATCAATAAACTCTTTCAATTAACTCAAGATCGATACCAGTGACATAGAGTTATGGTATACGGCAGCATAAGATGTTGCAACTGGGGAAGAACAAGCATTTCCCTGCTGGTAAACCCTCTGATGCGTTCAAGGACTCTCTTTCTGCACTGGATGTTACCCCGTATGTTTTGGAGCTCATTACAGGACTTCAGCTGATGAGGCCAGCACTCAAGAATGCAAGGACAAGCTAAACAACTCACGCCCTTCACACACCAGCGGAGAACAGGCACTCGACACCCCCCCCGACAGCCCCGGGACACCCCCCAACTCCACCCACCCACCCCGATACCCCCAAACCTCCTCCAAGCTGATGACATCACAGCGGTGACAGCAGACCTCAGAATGATTAAACTGATATTAGATCCCCCTGAAGTATCTCCACATGTGCAGGACTGGAGGGAAAACATAAAAAAAAAACTCTACTCTTGAAGTATTTTTCTACCCCCAAAACACCGTCAATCACCCCTAAGATATATATCTAAATATTCCCAAATTACAAATATCAAGATACTAATGAGGCTGTCCTGACAGCAGAATGAATGTAAAAAAGGTCCACATAAAAAGGCACCTGTAGACAGCCAAAAACAACAAGTTTGTTCATTTGTGTCTGACTTTTAAAATGTCTGCCTGTTTATTTAGTTTTTAACTACAACTGTCACCAAGTCATGTGCTTTCACAATGTGTAGATTCTTATATTGATAGTAAAGTCATACGTGTTGCTGTCTATAATCCATCTCCTTGTCTCCACAGCAACATTGTAGCAGAAAATACAGACGCATAAGTATTTTTTCCCCATCCCGCAAGTATTCCACATTCCTGCCCGTCTCACTGTTTATGTGTACAACAAGCTACAGGAACAAGCAAATCCGATCATCCATCATTTCAGATTCACATCATGTAAATGTTTAGTATCTTAATACAAATAAATCTTCTATCTTCTGCTTGGAAAAAAAGATGGTGGTTACGCTCTGATTTCTGTAATGTCCAAATGTCATTTTAAAGGAGATGCTTTATCACTGTTCTTGCTCCATTCTTTTTTTATTCTACTTCCGCTAAGCTAAGAACATCTGTTCCTTAATGCTAGGATATGTGTGAAGCTCGTGACGTTATTATTTTTTTTAAAAACAGCTAAATCAAAGCGCGTCTGTCACTGATTAAATCTAATCTGGGTCAAGAACAGGCCCCTTTGGCCCCACCCACCACCGCTCTCAGGTTAAGGTCGCCCGGCGGGCCGAGGCCCTGTCCAGCCCCCCGGAGGTCAGTGCTGGTCGGCGTGGGGTGGGCTGGGTGGGCTGGGTGGGCCGGCCCTCGCTGCACAGGTAGCAGATGGTGCACCACACGCTGTGCTCCGGGGACATCTGCACCCCGCTGCTGCTCCGAAAGGGCCGCAGCGCACAGGACCCTGTGGGCAGAGGGGGGACAGGCCCGGGGTCAGACTGACGTTGGCATTCCAGCATCGTACCAGGACTCAAATTGACTGGAAATAGACACTAAAACAGCACTGGAAAAAGTCAAATATACAATTTTTTCTGAACCACTTATTCCCAAATCGGGTCACGGGGGGACTGGAGTTACACTGTATATATATATATATATATACATATATATATATACACACACATATATACAGTATATAGTAAAAGATGCTTTAAACCAATAACTGCTTTGCTTTATATATAGATAGATAGATAGATAGATAGATAGATAGATAGATAGATAGATA